CATTGCACTCCAGCCTGGGCGACAGAGTGAGACCCTGTCTCAAAAAAAAAAAAAAAAAAAGAAATACTTTGAATCCCATGGAGGATATAGAGAAGTTGTGGACACACTCCTCCTTTCTGCCATGCTCCTCTGGGTTTTTGTGTGGTGGTAACATGAGTGTTTTCTGGCTGATTTGGGGGTGTGTCTCCAGAAGGTGACAAGGCTAAGACGATAAAAAAACAGGATTTCTTGACAATGATAACACCACTGTTTCATGGACTTTCATTGTGCCAAGGGCTCGAGCCAGGGTCTGCACCTTAACAACCACCTGGGGAGCTTGGGGAACTCCAGTTATAGCACACTGTCTGGGGTGGGGCACAGGCATCAGTATAGTTACAACTCCTCAGGCGAGTCCAGCATGCACCTGGGCCTGAGAGCCAGAGGAGAGAGGGGCTGGGAGAGGGGGGTCACAGCTACAGGGTTACCTCATCATGGACTTGAGCTTTCACATAGCTTAAAAATCTAGAGAATATTTCAGTGTGAATTTGGGGGGAAAATAGTAAAGAAAAGTCTAGATAATAGCTTAAGTAACAAATACATGGGGGTTTGTTAGACCAAGAGCAACGGAGACCATTTAATGCAGTTATTTAACAATATCTAGTACTTTCCTTTACCTTATCTGCTGTGCCATCATTCATGCCTGTCAGTATTAAAAATCCCCAAATTTCCCAAATAGATTTTCATTTCACTTTTGTCAACTAAATTTACATTCCTGTCTCCACTGCCCTCCTAGGTCCTGGGCCAGGTCCTCTTGGCTCTACTCACATTATTCATAGTAATATCTTGGATGAAAAAAATAGGCCAGGCATGGTAGCTCACGCCTGTAATCCCAGCACATTGGGAGGCTGAGGTGGGTGGATCATTTGAGGTCAGGAGTTCGAGACCAGCCTGGCCAACATGGTGAAACCCCATCTCTACTAAAAATACAAAAATTAGCCAGGCATGGTGATGCGTGCCTGTAGTTCCTGCCACCCGGGAGGCTGAGGCAGGAGAATTGCATATGCAGTAGGCGGAGGTTGCAGTGAGCTGTGATTGCACCACCGCACTCCAGCCTGGGCGACAGAGCAAGACTGTGTCTCAAAAAAAAAAAAAAGAAAAAAGAAGGCCTGAAGCTTCAATTCGCAACTGAAACATAACTAGAAAAAAGAATTCTGAATTTAAAAATAACTACAGTTATTATTATTAATTATTATTTTTGAGATGGAGTCTCACTCTGTCACCCAGGCTGGAATGCAGTGGTGCGATCTTGGCTCACTGCAACCTCTGCTTCCCAGGCTCAAGCAATTCTCCTGCCTCAGCCTTCCAAGTAGCTGGGATTACAGGCATCCACCACCACGCCTGGCTAATTTCTGTATTTTTAGTAGAGATAGGGTTTCACCATGTTGGCCAGGCTGGTCTTGAACTCCTGATCTCAGGTGATCCACCTGCCTTGGTCACCCAACATTCTGGGATTACAGGCGTGATCCACTGTGCTCTGCCATTATTTTTCTTTCATGCTTTGAATGGTACTTTTCTACATTTTCCGATGTACAGTGGGCCAGCCCTACCTGTAAGCCCTGACATTTATGATCTATTGTCATCTTTATTGTTCTTATCCTATGAAACAGGCACATTAGCTTCTTTCTGTAGAAATGGGTAGGAGGATATTCGAAATACCTGACCACTGGAACACGGTGGCTCTCGTGACCCTCCGGTCCAGAGGGGATGCTGGCTGGACCTCTGGCCAGCCTGTTCTTGGGCTACCTGCCTGCTGAGTGTTAACCCGGGAAGGGGCGGGGTTAACAAGGCTCAGAGGTAACAGGTTTTCCTGATTAAATCAAACATGATCTTGCAGCCTGTATTTTCTGGGATTTGTCTTGTTTTGTTAAGATCTATCCACCTCCAGAGTTGCCAAGAGACTATCGACCAGTGCATTATTTCAGACCCATGGTGGCCACCACCTCCGAGAACTCACACTTACTGCAGGTGTTATCAGAGTCAGCTGGAAAGGCAACACCTGACCCAGGGACACACAGTAAGCACCAACTGAATGCCTCCAAACGGGCAGAGTTGCTTGGAGAGACGCCTATTCAAGGTATGTGCCATGGAAAAGACTGAAATCATTACATTTCACATAACTTGAGTTATCAAAATAAAAATGGAAAGTTGTTTTCCCACTGCAGTTTTTTATGTGAATTTGTATTCCCAAACTGTGGAAATAACACTATTTATTGTAAATGGCATACGTAATAGTGTGCATAGCTTTTACTTCTTTTTTTAAGTTTTATTATTAAACTTATTTATTTTGAGATAATGTCTGGGTTTGTCACCCAGGCTGAAGGCAGTGATAACTCTCTATAACCTGGAACTCCTGGGTTCAAGCGATCCTCCCACCTCAGACTCCCATGTTGCTGGGACTATAGGCATGCGCCACCACCACACCTGGCACATTAAAACAATTTTTTTTTTTTAATGGAGATGAGGGTCTCACTATGTTGCCCAGGCTGGTCTGGAACTTCTGGCTTCCCAGAGTGCTGAGATTACAGGTGTGAGCCTCTGCGCCGAGCCAAGGCTTGTTTTTCCACCTTCAGTTTGGTTGATGTCATTCAAATCACTTTTATTGTAAGCTCAGCTGTTTTCAGACTTGTGATAATTATCAGGGAATGTGGTTAAGGTGGTTAAGGTGCCTTCGCCTTCTCTGCACAGCCTGGGAGAGTACGTTTTCTTCCTCTTGGGGATCGCGTTGTGTAACTCGTCTCCGGAAATTCTGAAAGGGATGAATGCGTCTGAAAGTCCGGAAAGACATGGAGAATCCCCTGCAGGGTGCAGCAGAAAAGACCCACCATGAGAGGTGGACTTGGACTCTCAGGGGCTCGAGCCTCACTGCCATGGGGGAATCCAATAGGTGTCTCCTATAACTGGCAAACAGAACCCTTGGTTCCCCACCCCCCCATCACACACTGCGCTTCCTCATCTAAGTCTTCTCATCTCAGGAAATGGTGCCACCGTGATCCACTGCTCGGACCGGAATGTTGGAGGCCTAATTCTTAGCTCCTCTCTTTCTGGTCTTTCCCCGCCCTTCCTGGCCCTCCCCGGCCCTCAGTGAGTCCTCTCAGCTCTACCCACAATGTGTTGGGGTTCCGTCCACTACTCATCTGCATATCCGTGACCTCTGGGTCTGAGCCCCGCCCCTCCACTTGGACCGTTGCAGCAGCCTCCTTGATGGTCTCCTTGTTTCTGTCCATTCCCCCTGCAGTCTGTTCTCCTTACCAGCAGCTGGATGAGGCCAACTATACCAGCTAGCACCTCCCCCACCTACAGAAACCTCCAGGCTCCCCACGAGGCCCTGTGCGGCCCCCCGCCCGCCTTTCAGGCTGCATCATCCACCACCTTCCCTTACCCTCCCGCAGTGTAGCTTCCTCCTCCTTTCCTCCTGTGAACACGCCGTCACCCATGACACTGCCTAAGGGCCTTTGTGTTTGCTGTTCCTCCCTCTCTGTTCTTCCGTCATATTTTTGTGAATCTGGATTTTTTTTTTTTTTTTTTTTTAGCTTAGGACTTATCTCAAATGTTGTCTTCTTCCAGCCTTCCCTGACCACCATATAAGCTGGTTATCTGCCTGCCTCCTCTGCCAGCCCGCTCACGCAAGCCCCCCCTCAGTCACGTCGCCCTATTTTTTTCATAGCCCTCCTCTGTTGAGGGCCAGCATGTGGCTCCTTGGCTTCTTTCCTGTCTCCACTGCCCTCCGAGCTCCTGGGCCGGGTCCTGGCGTGGAGTTGGCACCCATGAGTGTTTGTGCCATTAGTGAGGACCTGCTGGGGAGCTACGCTCGGAATCAGGGTTAGTGGTGGCGGACTGCAGGTCTGGAGCTGGGGATGTCAGGTTCCGCATCCTGGGACCACTCATGTGCCCTGTAAGTGTGCATGTGTTAACTTCCATTTTTGCTGACTATAAAACAGGAATCTTCGCCTTGCTCAGTGGCTCATGCCTGTAGTCCCAGAACTTTGGGAGGCCAAGGTGGGATGATCTCTTGAGCCCAGGAGTTGAGACCAGCTTGAAAAACATGGCGAAATCCTGTCTCTACAAAAAATATAAAAAGTAGCCCAGCATGGTTGTGTGTGCCTGTGGTCCCAGCTACTCAGGAGGCTGAGGTGGGAGGATCACTTGAGCCCGAGAGGTGGAGGTTGCAGTGAGCCATGATCACACCACTGTACTCCAGTCCAGGTGACAGAGCGAGACCATGTCTCCAAAAAAACATAGGATTCAGCCAGGTGTGGTGGCTCACACCTGTAATCCCAGCACTTTGGGAGGCCGAGGCGGGTGGATCACCTGAGGTCAGGAGTTCGAGACCAGCCTGGCCAACATGATGAAACCCTGTCTCTACTAAAAATACAAAAAATTCGCCGGGCATTGTGGCACGTGCCTGTAGTCCCGGCTACTCGGGGGGCTGAGACAGGAGAATCGCTTGAACCCGGGAGGTTGCAGTCAGTGAGCTGAGATTGTGCCACTGCACTCCAGGCTGGGCAGTAGAGCCAGACTCCGTCAAAAAAAAAAAAAAAAAAACAAAGAATCTCATTTTTCACTGTCTAGTCCACAAAGATATATGAACATAAATGAAACACTAAACATAAAATACTCATCCTCAATTATGTAAATTTGTGATATTGAAATGTATGTACAGAGAAATGAAAATGTGGTTGTTTTATGACTCTTTTCATCTCTTCTAATTACTGTGTTTATTTAGGTTCAGCTACTTCAGTGTTAGAATTTCTGTCCCAAAAAGATAAAGAGAGAATCAAAGAAATGAAGCAGGCAACTGACCTGAAAGCAGCTCAGCTCAAGGCCAGGAGTCTGGCCCAGAACGCCCAGAGCAGCAGAGCCCAGCCCTCCCCTGCAGCAGCTGCTGGGCACTGCTCTTGGCACGTGGCATTAGGTGGTGGGACGGCCACCCTGAAAGCCAGCAACTTCAAGCCTTTCGCCAAAGATCCGGAAAAGCAAAAGCGATACGAAGAGTTCTTAGTACACATGAAACAGGGTCAGAAAGGTGGGTGCTGGGCCTGGGTCTCCCACATCTCGGCCAGGGCGGGGCCACGTTCTCACTGTTCTCATCCTAGACTCATATTTACAGTTGAGGTATCCCGTTCTGTCAGTGTTTTTGCTTTATCCTGCTGCAAATGGTGCAAAGGCTCTTGACCTCAGAAAGCAAGAACAGTTAGCTTATGTTCCTCCATATCTCAGGCCAAAGCTAGCTGTTTAAGTAGAGAATACAACTGGCGGTGGCCGGTGCTTGCAGGCCGTTTGGTGTTTGCAAGTGCTTGACTGCTACAAGCATTGCATTTCACATTTCATATCAACATCATCTTCCACCTTATCCAAAGATCCTAACCATCCACTCCTGACTCATAGTCTTAAATTCGACTTAAAACAATAGTTGGCTATTGAACCGTTACAGAGGAGAAACAATCACTTTGTGATCTTTGAAGTAAATATGGCAAGAATGAGGAAAGGGGTTGCTGTTGTATGCAGTAGTCCTCGTGAGAGGTTATCAGTAAATTACAGGGTTAGTTTTTAAAAGCAGATCTTTGTGGAATGTAAAGTTATTTACTGTGCCTTAACTCTGTACTAAGAACCTACATCACTAATGTTTATTTGCTTTAAAAAAAAAAAAAAAGGTGGGCCAGGCGCGGTGGCTCACGTTTGTAATCCCAGCACTTTGGGAGGCTGAGACGGGCGGATCACGAGGTCAGGAGATCGAGACCATCCTGGCTAACACGGTGAAACCCCGTCTCCACTAAAAATACAAAAAACTTGCAAACTTGCCGGGCGTGGTGGCAGGCACCTGTAGTCCCAGCTACTCAGGAGGCTGAGGCAGGAGAATGGTGTGAACCTGGGAGGTGGAGCTTGTAGTGAGCAGAGATCGTGCCACTGCACTCCAGCCTGGGCGACAGAGCAAGACTCCGTCTCAGAAAAAAAAAAAAAAAAATTGGTTAGTGAAAGAGTGTTTTTCTGCCAAAACGTCAGGATGTGGTTGGGGTCAACTTATCACTGTCTGGGAGTGGTGACAGGTTCCTTACTGCTAAAGATTTAACCAAGCATTAGTCTCCCACATGGTTTTCTCTGTTATGTTTGGTAGACAGAATTCAATAAAAGCATCATTTTGGCTGGGGACGGTGGCTCATGCTTGTAATCCCAGTACTTTGGGAGGCTGAGATGAGGATCACTTGAGCCTAGGAGTTCAAGACCAGTCTGGGCAACATAGTGAGATCCTACCTATATTAAAAATACGTGTATATATATGTATATATATATTTTTTTAAATATAAAAATAATAATTTTTTTTTTTTGAATGGAGTCTTGCTCTGTTGCCCAGGCTGGAGTGCAGTGGCAGGATCTTGGCTCACTGCAATCTCAGCTCACTGCAACCTCCACCTCCCGGGTTCAAGCGATTATCCTGCTTCAGCCTCCTGAGCAGCTGGGATTATAGGTGTGCACCACCATGCCCAACTAAGTTTTATAGTTTTAGTAGAGATGGGGTTTCTCCATGTTGGCCAGGCTGGTCTCGAGTTCCTGACCTTAAGTGACCCACCTGTCTTGGCCTCCCAAAGTGCTGGGATTACAGGTATGAACCACTGCGCCTGGCCTAATTTTTTTTTGAAAAAGCACAATTTTGAAGGAAAGAACAGTATTACCTGCCAAATACCTCACCATTCCCATAGTCATAAAAACAAGGATAAGGACTTAGGAAATATACAGTGGTGCCCAGCAGATGTTCTCTTGTAAGCCCCATGTTTTTCTGAGAAGTGAAGACGCTTCCTGTTCTCTGCCCCGCAGATGCTCTGGAACGCTGTCTGGACCCCAGCATGACAGAGTGGGAGCGAGGCCGGGAGCGGGATGAGTTTGCCCGGGCGGCCCTGCTGTACGCGTCTTCCCATTCGACCTTGTCCTCCAGGTTCACTCACGCCAAGGAGGAGGATGACTCAGATCAGGTTGAAGTCCCTCGAGACCAAGAGGTCTGTTGTCATCATGTCCCTTACCTGGTGAACTTTAATATTAAAGCACTGCCTAGCCAAAAGTGTTTTTTCTTTTGTTTTTTGAGATGAAGTCTCTCTCTGTCGCCCAGGCTGGAATGCAGTGGTGCGATCTCAGCTCACTGCAGCCTCCGCCTCCTGGCTTCAAGCGATTCTCCTGCCTCAGCTTCCCGAGTAGCTGGGATTACAGGTGCTCACCACCACACCCATCTAATTTTTGTATTTTTAGTAGAGATGGGGTTTCGCCATGTTGGCCTGGCTGGTCTTGAACTCCTGACCTCAGGTGATCCGCCTACCTCAGCCTCCCAAAGTGCTGGGATTACAGAGATGAGCCACCATACCCAGCCGAGCCAAATATTTTTAATCCCTCGGTGAGAAGATCAAAACATACATGGTATAGGAGAATAAGAAACCATTTTATGCCTAGTTTCCAATGTACTGGAGCAAAAATGTTATAGCACAAACTTTTTTCGCATTTCTAGAAGATTGCTTGAAAATTTTAAATGGGAGGGCAGTCAGGTCAATGGTGCAACCACTTGATGAAACAAAATGCATGTCTTTTCCCAGAATGATGTTGGGGACAAGCAGTCGGCCGTGAAGATGAAGATGTTTGGGAAGCTCACCCGAGACACGTTTGAGTGGCACCCTGACAAGCTGCTATGTAAGAGATTTAATGTTCCCGACCCTTATCCAGAGTAAGTTGGATAAACCTTTACATCAGTACAAAATGTATTCTTGAGATTAAAGCTAATTTTCCCCTTACATACTCATATAAATTCTTGTTTTTTCTACATGAACTTATTTGTATATCCCTGGATATTACAAATGTACACATTTTGTAGATTTGCTTTGATAAATTACTTCTATAATTTGTTACTAAAACGAAATCCGGATAGCAAACTTTATTCCCTACTGAAGCTATGAAACTCAGCTATGTCAAGTTACAAAAGCATTATGCCTCTCTCATTTGCCACCTTCTTAATGCTGCTCCTGTGGTTTACATTTACAATGTTACTTATGTTTTTAAGTTATCATTATAAAAGTTAAACACTTTCTTATTTGATTAATAACACTTCAAGAGGTGGGGTGTGGTGGTGCACACTTGTAATCCTAGCTTGGGAGGCCAAGGCAGGAGGATCGCTTGAGCCCAGGATTTCGAGGCCAGCCTGGGTAACATAGTAAGACCCCATCTCTAAAAAATCAAGCAAACAGAACACTTCAAGATAGTAGGCCGGGTGCAATGGCTCACACCTGTAATCCCTGTACTTTGGGAGACTGAGGCGGGCAGATCACTTGAGGTCAGAAGTTCGAGACCAGCCTGGCCAACATGGTGAAACCCCATCTCTATTAAAAATACAAAAAATTAGCTGGGTGTAGTGGTGCGCACCTATAGTCCCAGCTATTTGGGAGGCTGAGGCAGGAGAACTGCTTGAACCTGGGAGGCGGAGGTTGCAGTGAGCCAAGATTGTGCCATTGCACTGTAGCCTGGGTGACAAAACGAGACTCAGTCTCAAGGAAAAAAAAAAAAAAATAGCATAGGTAGTCAAACCAGACTGTCAGAAACTTTAGGTATATTTTTATCAGTGGAACTTTTCCTTAATAGAAATCCATTTTCAAAGTTAAATTCTTGCCCTTATCATAATAAGGAAAAACTCATGGGACCTAAAGTCAGTCACCCAGATTCTCGAACTGCTTTGAGAAGTGAAAGCATCTTAGGGGACTTTTTTTTTTGAAACGGAGTCTCGCTCTTT